CTGCTGAACTACTGACCTTCCACAGCCTGCAGTTCACCGTCTTAACCACTTGAGCCACGGCAAAGTAGCATACAATATAATGAAATGTTTTAACAGAGGCAAACAGGAATAACAAGCTAATTTTATAAGGTCATCATTGTTTGGATTTAATTCTGGGGGGAAACATTGTATGCTAAGTTGCTGTTCAACCTCTGCCTTATATGTATGGACTGGTAAGTTCCTCTTCACTGTGTCTGAGGAAGTGTGCCTGCTCACACCTTGAATAAAACTCTGTTGGTCTTAAAGGTGCCCCACTGGACTCTTTGTTCTACTGCTTCAGACCAACATGGCTACCCCACCTGGATTGATCAGCAGAATTTGTTGCCAATAAATACGGGAACAGGCAGCCCTCACCCATGGTGGAAGGATTCTGTATTAGGACTGGGGCTACTAAACTTGTTCATAAACGACCTGGATTCCCTGTGCTCATGTGACATTAAATTACACCGGACGATTCGGAAACCGGAAGACCGCAAAGGGTTTCTGAAAGGCCTCGGATGAGATGGCAGCAGGGCGTTCAAAGAAAGCAAAGGCCAGCATCCCCCCCAGTGACGAGAACGCATCTTCTTTATTCCCGCGAGATACAACTGCGACCTCTCAGAGGTCAGGAATCCGAGAGACACCCTCGCCCCCTTCCCACCGAGGTGAGAGGCAGAAAGGCAGGCCCCCTTCCCCTTCACTGGGTGTAGAGGCTGGCCGCGAAGACAATGTCCCTCTTGATCATGTTGGAGGCAGTCTCCATCTTGGCGTGCAGCGTGGGCTCCCCCGTGACCCGGGCCGCGTTGCGCATCTCCCGGCAGGTTTCGTCCAAGCGCTGGATGCAGCGGACGATGATCCCCTCCTGCACGTCCGTCAGGCGGGCGATCTCGGCAAACGGGTAGCGAAGGAGAAGCAGAAAGGGAACCAGTTAGGGGGCCAGTTAGTCAGGAGTCACTTGCACGGGCCACACTGCCATCCTAGTCTGAAACGTCAACTGTGGTGCCGTTTGGGTTGAAGTCCCAACTCTGGGTCAGCAAGCAGATGGAACAAAACGGTGCAGACCTCCACAGCCCCGACGGCTATCTATTTCTACACACATCATCTCACTTGTATTTTATTTCTCAGAATACCGATAACCCATCTTCGCTTTGCAGTGCAAGGTGACTCAATTAAAAATGCTTTAAAATGCCTACACAAAACGCAATAGAAGAAGAGGAGGAGGAGGAGGAAGAGATTGGATTTATACCCTGCCCTTTACTACCCGAAGGAGCCTCAGAGCGGCTTACAATCTCCTTTCCCTTCCCCTCCCCACAACAGACACACACCCCCACCCCCGTGAGGTAGGTGGGGCCGAGGGAGCTCTTTCTAGGACTGCTCTTGAGAGAACAGATCTGAGAGAACTTGTGGTGTGAGCCAAGGTCACACCAGCAGCTGCATGTGGAGGAGTGGGGGAATCAAACCCAGTTCTCCCAGGTTAGAGTCCACGCACCTAACCACTACACCACACTGGCTCCAAAGTAATCCCCCATTCCCGCAGACCCCGCCCCCCTAACTTGGAACAAGAAATCAGTAAGGTAGCCGTGGTAGCAGCCATAATAGCCCAGACTAGCCCGATCTCTTCATAGCTTGGAAGCTAAGCGGGGCTGGAAGGAAGACCAACAAGGAAGACTCTGCAAAGGGGAGGGCATGGCAGACCACCTCTGCTTAACCTGCGATTGCCAGGAGTCAGTTGCAACTGGATGGCACACTTCATCCTTTTTAAGGCAGGTGTTATCCTGGCCTGTAGCTACAGTGGAGCTACTGGGGGCTCTGCCCCCTTCCTTAAAGGGCTAGCCCCAGAAGATTTTAAAATGCTTTTGAGAAGAAGCGGGGGATGGCGCGCTCCCCTCTCCCTCCCCTCCTGCAAGATTTAAAGGGCCCTCCAGCTGATCAGCGGGCCACGTGCTCCTCAATAATTAGCCGAAGGGCCCTTTAAATTTTGCAGGAGGGGGAGGGAGAGGGGTGGCCACCGGCAGTCGGGCTTGGGGGCGGATTGGAGCGGACATAAAAATAATGGCAGCCCCACCAGTACA